CATGTTAATTAGGAGAAAAACCTATTAAAATGGGTTTGATAACAGTGGAATGTTGTTTACCAAACAGAAACATTAACACCTTTTATTTCTTATTCTCTTCTTTCAAGCCAAATTTTGGTGCCTCATTACAGCTCCTCAAAGTAGAGATTGGTGGTGATGCACAGTCTACAGGTATTTGAATTTGGGTTTTGCAGGAAAAGTTTGTAGTATCAGTGAATGGGATCCCTTGGGGTAATTGTGCTGATATTTCATGTTCTGCAAATGAATTGTTTCTTTATAACCCACTTCTGCATTCCTTTCTTGCATATATTCTAGGAGGTACGCATGGGAAATCCTGTAATAATCCAATATGTGCTGGGTTAATATTGGACAATGTATTAATAGGTCCTTAATTCTAAGTGATACTTGCAAACTTGCTCATTTAANAGGGTCCGTAAGATTGTCTGGGACACTACACATCCTCTTCACAACCTGTTTTCCTTGTTACCTTCTGGGAGGAGACTTTGTGGTATCCAAAGTAGAACATCCAGATTCAGTCACAGTTTTGTTCCATAGAGAATTAACCTTGTGAACTCTAAAGCTTTCTTCAAATGATCCTATCTAGAATGTACCTCAAGATAGAACCATGGGAGATAATAACAAAAACAGAGCTTCCAACCTCAGATATTCCAAGAGATCCAGAAAACTGCCATAGTTAATGACATTAAAAGTTGCTGAGCAGCCAAGAACCATATTCCCTCTATGTCACAGGTTCTTTTTTTAAACGCAATGCCCAATTAGATTGATCCAGATGCAAGAAATAAAAGCACTGAACTCTGGACCAGGTGGTTTCTATATAGGTCCCTAAAAGGGATGGGGAAGCTTCTGATTTGGCACAATCAAAAGTATAAAAGTGATGTATATATACATGCATCCTGCTGTATTACCTCTAACCTACACATATAGTACTTCTATTACTACAGATAGCCCTCATTTAAGGGTGACAATTGGGACTGGCAACCTGATTGCTAAGTGTCATGGTCATTAAGCAAGACAACAGGTAACTGTTATTGCTTTACAAGCTCACTTCCTCTATGGTTGTTAAGTGAATCACTTGGATCATTAAGCGAGGCTCCAGGTGACTGTGTCTTGTGATTTTACTGCCAGCTTCTCCATTGACTCTGCTCGTCAGAAGCTGTGCCAATGGCAATCCCGTGACTGTGGGATGCTGGGACACTTTTAAAACACCTGTTGGTTGTAAAGCACATAAATCTCCATCATGTGACTATGGGGATGCTGTAGCCATTATTAAGTGCAAGAATGCGTCATAAGTTACTTTTCAGCATTGTTGTAATTTTGAATGGTTGTTAAACAGGGCAATTATTAAGTGAGGACTACTTGTATTGCTATTACTATTATACTATTACTATTTGAACAATTCTGCTCTATACTATTACTAACAGAATTACTGATATATTATTTGTACTGTATACATCAATGTTTTCTTCTTATAGAACCCGTTCTATCCTTTTTCTCCTTTTCTGGAATTTCTTCCATTTTTCATCTGTAATTCTCTAAATGTAATTCATCAGGATGCATTCTAAGATAAGAGATTCTTATCTCTTTTAAGTAAGGAGGCATTCCGCGTTCCAGAGAGGAGTTCTGATGATACAAACCATAACATTTTTAATAACCCCTGGCTAGAAATTACAAGCCAAGAATTAAGAGAATGGCTGATTAAGGTACCACTCCCAACATCCTGTCCACATTTTCAGATATCACATGTGGAAATTATGCATTCTAATCATACAGGAATCATTGTTAGACACCTACAGAACATAACTGAGTCTGCATTAATGCTGGCATTCATGCAAGATTGAATAAGCTTGAGATTTTATCAGCAAGAAAACAAACTAAACCAAACCCCAAAACAACAAAACAAAAATCCAACAAAACCTCAAAACACTAGAGATTCTATGATTAAGTGTTGGAAGTTGAAAGGAGGACAGCCTGAATAGCCCAGCAAGCACTGAGCTTACCAATGCAGTATATTGCATGTATCACCACAATGTATGTTCTCAAGTGGATTTTATGCTGTATCTTCCTGATCTGAGTCATCTTCCACCTACTCTTTAGCCCTCTAACTTGCTTTTTCAGCTCCCTACGTTTGTAAACCAAGGAGTCATTTGTGAAGCATGACAGAAATTAGAAGTGATTATTATGAATAGCCTTATATAGTCCCCTATTTTAGAGCATTAACATATTATTAGTGGAATTAACCACCAACCTGCCCAAGTCCTCTTGAAGTCCAATTTGATCAACAGATCTTTTGGGAAGACTGTTCTAATAGGTCCACGGCTTCTACAGAAATGAGATGTAACCACTACATAACCATAGCCAGATGAGCCATTTACCACAGGATTAAGGCATCCCCATGCATCAAACAGTATAAAATGTTAAACTTGTGTGATTTACATTGGGTCCTGCTCAGGAGAAGCTTAAAGATCATTGCTGTGATCTCCTGACCTGTGCAAGACAAACCAATTCAAAATGGTTGGTGAAGTGACTCAGCACTATGAAGCTGAAGGATATAATAATGAGATCTCAGTATGTGTATCAATCTGACTAAGTACTACTATTATAGTAGAATAGAGGCAATATAGGTCTGCCAAATTTAGAAAGGAAACACTTTAGAGCAAGGGTGTCAAACTGCTGGCCCGCGGGCCAGATCCATCATAGCGAAACCGCACCCACCCCATTGCTGGCAATGGGAAAAAAGTCATGATACGTCACGACATGTCACGTGATGTTGCAAGTTTGACACCCCTGCTTTAGAGCTTGGGTTTAAAGAGGGTTTGGAAACAGAACTACAGAACCAAATCATCAGCCGGAATTGTTCAAAGCAGAGAACATAGTGTTGGAAGTCAGTACCCCCCTCCTAGAGAAGGAAATATTTTTGGGGATATTAAAAAAGGCAGAATATTATATTTCCCCAAAGGAATAATGGAGAAAAATCTTAGGCAGAAACCAGCCCCCAGTCTCTTTTCCCCAAGCAAGCCAGCTTTTAGAAGTGCAGATTTGAGGCCACCTATTCATAAGCAAAATGCCTTCAGCCACAGCCACAGAGAAAGTTTGAGCTGATGGGATTAGAAAAACAAAGACTCCAAGGACAGGAACATAACCTTTAGGATACAGGTCCCCGACCTTTTGGGCACCAGAGACCAGTTTCGTGGAGAGTGGTTTTTCTGCGGACCGGATGGTGCATGATTTTGTGTGCTGCCTGCATCTCCATGGGGCTTTGCTTGTTTGTGCGGATCAGTTGCTGGGATACCACAGCCCGGTACTGGTCCATGAACCGGGGGTTGGGAGCTCCTGCTCTAGGACATAATAGGATTAACCCACCACCATTATAATTCCAAAAGGGCACACTCAAGCTCAGGTCAAAGTAATTGCACAGGAACAGGAACAACCTCAAATACAAAGCCCAAGAAGGTATAAAAACCCACCACTCCCAGCTCCATTTTGTCAGCCACCCCAGAAACATGCTGTGTCACTAAGGTTTCTGGCAACTAAATAAACAACAACCTTAGTCTCCATTTTGTTTACTCCCAGCTTGGACTGAACCTGATGATTTTTCTTTCAACAATTGCTAGCATCTATTATACACCCAGAGAAGGTTCCTGACCTAAGCAAAACATTCAAGCCACCACACATCATTCTAAAAGAATCCAGACTATTCTCATAAACTGAAAGAAAAAAATGCATGCATAACAACTCACGTTTTAAAGCACTTAGTAAAGCACTATGCACTTAAAATGCATTCTAATGAATATCTGAATTAAGATTTTAATTAAGAATTAAGATTCTTGTTAGTGCTTACAGATTTGTTATCTTATAATACTTCAAACCTGGTATTTCAAAATCTTCTTTCCCAAGATAGAATCCCTTCGGTGATGTGTTCAAGGCAACTAGATTTCTGACATTACTGACACTAGATTTCTGACATTACGGACACTATATATTTATTATTAAACTTCAATGCTGCCCATCTCGCCAAGGCGACTCTTGATGAATGTACACACCTGATGACTACACATCTGCATTTAAAAAACATACACCGTAGGTGGATCAACTGGTCTAAAGTTTCTTTACTTTAAAATATACGAAGCCATCGCTTTCTCAAAAACAATTACTTGCAATAAAGACTGAACAGATGGAATGGACCTTTCATTAAAGTTTCATACGAGACTATTTCCCATCTGAAAATAGGATATTTTTGTGGACTTGTTCTAGTACAAATATGGGAAAAAAATACGGGGCTCAGGACTCTGTCCATCAGCAGCACAACCCTCCCCAAACAGCATGGAAGAGGACTACATTCGGTGGAGGGAGGGAAGGAGGGAGGGAGGAAGAGAGAGAGAGGGCAGAGTCGTCCAAAGTGTGGAGGGAAGAGCAAACACACACGGGACCGGCTCCCCATTGTACGTCGTTACACCCAAGGAAATAAAATCTTCCTGTGGTTAGAGAGGTGGAACCAATTCCAGAAGCCATGCTCTGCATGCTTTTCCTACTTTATTCCAAGTAATAGTGATTGTAATTTCCTGTTAAAATCACTGCAAGGCACTTTAATCTTTAAACTCCCCAGGGGCGCACAGTGCCATTAATACGCAACGGTCAAAATCGTAAGGATCCCGATCTCCGCTGGACACAAGCCCTCTTCCTTGACAGTGCCCGCACGTGACCTCGAACGGAATGATTCCGAGGTTACGTCATCGCTGAGGCGAGGGACGGAGGGAGGGGGGGACACAGAGCTGCTGCACCGCCACTCAAAGACTTCGCTCCCTTTTCTTTCCGCGCTGCCAGTTGCCCGCCTGGTCAGGTGATCGCGTGTCACATGACTGTGCTGGGGATCTGGAGCGACGCTGCAGCCGACCTCCCGCGGATTTCCTCCGAGAGAGGGGATGCAGTCGGGTCTCCGTCCCTAGTCCTCCTGAGCGCGGCAGCTCCTTCGACCTGCCAGAATGCGGCTTTGGTCTTTGGTCTGGCTGCTGGGATGCAGAGCGGCTGCTTGGCAGAGCGACGATTACTGGCTGGATGATGCCGTCGGGCTGGGGCGGCAATTCGATGGCATCGGAGCCGTTAGCGGCGGCGGGGTGGGTGAACGGAGCCCACTGCGCGGGCTTGGAGTGGGTCGGACAAACTGTGCTCCGTTGGGGGTGGCGTTGGTGTTGGCCCGGAAGCGGGGAGGCTTTTCAGTTCTGACGGAAATCTGCCCAGAAAGAACCTGCGAATCTGAGGACCCTGAAGCTCAGGTCGCTTCCTTGTGGGAGCACCGCTGATCACCGTAGTCCCGTGTCCTCTGCTTACCTTGGGGATGAAGTGCTGTAGCAACCGTGCTCAGATCCCAAAGGCAAAATAGAGAACCCGTTCGGCACTCAGAGGCGTCTCCTGAAAAGAGACCTGAGCTGTCAAGATTCTTTTTACAGGAAATGCCTCTAAGGGGATCTGAGCGTGGTTGTTACTTCATTTAGTTCGTATATTATACGTACATATTAACTCAATTTATTGTTCATATATTAGATGCATATAATACTGTACATAAATAATAAATAGCTTCCAGGGAAAGTTGCTATAACTTGCATGGCATTTTTATATTTTATTTTTCCAATGAGGATGCTTGCTTTGCGAACAGGGTTTCCCTACAGAACTTATAATACCTAACAGATAGATGTTATTGTCCCAAGTTGAGTAGCCATTTAATCAGGTAGGGAGTAAAGAAACAGACATAATTGGGCAAGTGTGTTGCACAATGTACTTAAAATTAAGATATATGCTCCGGCTTTGATCAGTGGGGGGCAGAGGAGAGAGAGAAACAAGCAAACAAACATCCTTTTTTTTTAAAAAGCTGGAGGTGACTTTTTGCCATTTGGATTTCAATGGGTGAAGCTTTGTACATTGGTTTTCTAAAATAACTAGGAGACAGGTTATTTCCAGATCAGAATTTGGAGGCAGGAGAAAGAAGTGATTAGAGTCAAGAGTGGACAAGCAAGGGTATATCATGTCATTGTGAGTAGTAAAGTATAGGAAGATAATACAAACTGATAAGACAAGTAGGGTAAAAGTAAGATATTATTAGGTAAAATAAAGACACACTCAAGTTGAACCCTTGTTTCTAATATTTTCTTATTTCTTGGACAAATCCCTTTGATTTTCTTTGGCAAGAAATTGGAAGAAATTTGTTACTGCCTTCCTTTGAGTTTTGTTTTCTGAATTCCTTGTCAAATCCACAGAGATCTGGGATTTTTTTTGTTGCTCTCCACATTTGATCCTACTTAATATTTTGGGATCAGCCACCGTTGGCTAGCTGCTATCTTTTAAATTAAGTATTTGACGAGGACATATGCAGAGGCTAGGAGAGGATTTTATGAAGATAATGAATAATGAAAGAACCATGAGAAAATGGGCATAAATATGATTATCATAAAAATATGTCTGATCAGTGGTATTATGTATATTAATTCCAAACAATTTTCTTTCTAATTTTTTTCTAGGCTACCTCACGCCTTTTAGTGAATTACCCAGAACCCTATCGATCTCAGATTTTAGATTATCTTTTTAAGGTAATTATTGCCTTAGAATGACTTTAAGGTAGAACTTTGTTTTCCTTAAAAGTATTAACAAAAATGCTGTGATGTAAATGAGAGTGGTAGAAATATGAAAAAAAGTTTCATATTCTGAAAGGTCCTCAAGACCTAGTTATGTTATGTTGTCTGGAGCTCTCAGGAGGCTGGAGACTTGCTAAGAGGCTCTTTTGTTGTGTTTGCCATTTTCATTCCTCTCATCGCCTATGGTTGTGTACCTTTGTTTTTTATGATATTAATGTGAAACATTTTATATCTGTGGTTGTTGTATTGTTGTTTATCTCACTGTTGTGCGGCACCCAGAGTCACTTTTGGTGAGATGGGTGGCTACATAAATTTGATAAATAAATAAACAAATAAAATAGAATGTACCTTCCCCTACCCAGTAGCAATTACTTACCTGCCTGTCATCCTGGCTTAATGACCCACAATTCTTACCTAATGACATCAGGGACCACCGTTGCTAATGTTGTACATTATGACCACATTGCTTAGCAATCAGAATTCCAATCCCAACTACTGTCATTAAGCAGGGACTACCTGTGGAAAAATCAAATCTAGTCTGTTGAACTTTCTGAAGTAGTCCAGAATAGAAGCAGAGATTAAATTCACATTGTACATAAACCAGTGAGAGAAAACTTTTTGGCTTGGCATATCAAAATTTTGAGAAATGCCTAACTTGACTTTGTTGGCATCGCGCGCGCGCGCACACACACACACACACACACACACACACACACACAAACAAAAGAGAAATATTTCTCTATCTTCCTCCCATCTAAGCCACTCTAAACAACAGCATTCAGTGACAGCGCCAATGCTAGAATTGAAGTAGACACCCAGACCTTATCTTCAGTCCTGGTGCTACTGATGCCACTCAAAAAGTGGAGGGTCTGAAGGGGGTGGAAGAGTATGACCCTCTTGTACAACTTCTAGAGAGCACAGGAGAGCACACGCCATTCTTGAGTGACCTCTGCAGTCTCAATCTTTCACTCAAGAATGGGGCATGCTTTTGAGAAGAATTGATGTTGGATGTTAGTAAATGCGGGTGTGTCCACCAAAATACTGTGGCGTGTCACCTTTGACATATATATCTTAGTTCACCATCACTGTACTAAGCCATAGTATGTTGATATACCATTTGTGAGCTACAGAAATTCAGGCAATATCCTAGAAGCCAGCAAAATTATAAATGCTAACTCTTTGCTTCCATCTAATAGTCTTTTGGAGTTTTGCAGTTGAAATATGGACTAGGTATTAGGATTTGTAAATCATAGTTAGATCTTAGCATTCCATGTGAATTAATTCACTAGGATGTGTGAATCCTACTTAGTGAATTGATATGCCTGGCTGAACCATCTGAAACAATAGGATGTTTTGAGAAATAAATGGAACGTTTTAAGAAAGTTAACCCTGATGAGAAGGAAGGAAGGAAGGAAGGAAGGAAGGAAGGAAGGAAGGAAGGAAGGAAGGAAGGAAGGGAGGGAGGGAGGGAGGGAGGGAGGAAGGAAGGAAGGAAGGAAAGCCAATGTAGAGTGTTATCACTTGCATAAAATATGGGAGGGAGGAAATAGTGTAATCATTCTTTTTAGAATCATGAGGAGACAGAGTTCATGTTAATTAGGAGAAAAACCTATTAAAATGGGTTTGATAACAGTGGAATGTTGTTTACCAAACAGAAACATTAACACCTTTTATTTCTTATTCTCTTCTTTCAAGCCAAATTTTGGTGCCTCATTACAGCTCCTCAAAGTAGAGATTGGTGGTGATGCACAGTCTACAGGTATTTGAATTTGGGTTTTGCAGGAAAAGTTTGTAGTATCAGTGAATGGGATCCTTTGGGGTAATTGTGCTGATATTTCATGTTCTGCAAATGAATTGTTTCTTTATAACCCACTTCTGCATTCCTTTCTTGCATATATTCTAGGAGGTACGCATGGGAAATCCTGTAATAATCCAATATGTGCTGGGTTAATATTGGACAATGTATTAATAGGTCCTTAATTCTAAGTGATACTTGCAAACTTGCTCATTTAAGTTTTGCATGATATAACATGCATTTTCCCTACTTCCCTCCATGTAAGATTGTATTATCTTCACTAATTGAACAAAATAGGGCCAATTTCTCTGTAAAAAAAAAAACTCCAGCAAGTAAATATGGTGCCAACTATTAGAACTGTGAGGTTCCTCCTTATAACAACTTTATTTCAGTCACTTGGAAAGTGGAAAAACAAGTTTAGCCCGTGGTAAAGCAATCATATTAAAAGGATTTAGTATCTACCAATGGTAAATACTGTAACTGAAGGACAATTTAAAGATCTGGCTAGTTGCCAGTTAGGGTGCATCACTGCCTATAAGTGACTGTTTATAGAAGAAAACTCTAAATCCAATTTGAAATTTGGTATCATGCTTACAGTTGTTCCATTTTTAAAGTTCCATTTTGAAACTTATCTCTAAAAGAAAAGAGTGACTGTTCTTGACACATAATAGTTTTCTACTGAGCAAGTACTTTGTACTTTGTAATTTGTTATTACTAGTTAGTCATACAATTATGCTTTTAAAATAAATATTATAAAGGTGAATGTAATGTAGACATTTACCAGTATTAATGCTTTTGCCCTTGACATTATCTTGTGGGCTAAACTTGAATAATGTTTTCATATTCAGTTTCATTGAACAAATGTAGATTCATATGTTTTATGAAATATGCTGCAGTAAAAATAGTTGAAGGTCTTGCATTTAATGAAATACAAAGATAAGTTTGTTTTCCTTTCCTAGATGGCACTGAACCCTCCCATATGCATTATGAAAATGATGAAAATTATTTGCGTGGCTATGAATGGTGGCTGATGAAAGAAGCTAAAAAGAGAAATCCTTTCATTAAATTGATTGGTAAGAACTGCAGGCCTTTGAGACATGATGCTTTTGTACGTTGATAGCATAATTTGAAAACAGCTTGGTGATTTATTTTTAATTATAATCTCTTAATGCCAAGTGAAATATCCAGTTTATAAATTATAAATAATTTTATTTTGTACTCACCTGAATTTCAGATTAAACCTAATTCCTAGTTGCTGTCTTTGTATCCTAGATGGCAAAGTGTAGGAACAGAAACAGGTTTAAAAAAGGGTTGAGGCTTTCATCACATGCTTGCAGCAATTATCTCACTTTTCAGGACTTACCCCCTTCTATTTCCTCTTCCTGGCTAGGAAATAAACCCTGTATGTTGCTTTGCCCCTTATCTAATCAGGGAATATAGGCACATTATTTGGGATGGAGAAGTAGCCATGAGTATTGATCTGTACTCTTAGCCATTAACCTGGTTCAAAATAATGTGTGAATATGGTAATAGCAACCTACACCGCATTCTGAAATAAAAGTGTTCTCTAAAAGTTGAACTTTGCTATTCTTCTGAAAGCCATATTATCATGTTGCAATTCATCCCAAACCCTATGATTTGTTGGAGGATCTGCTGACCAGATTCCATATCCTACCCAATGTTGATTGACACACATGGAAGACCTGGACTACATGTGTCTACTGGTTTCTGGACCTTAACACAAAAAAAAAATCTAGTTTTGTGTTGCTTTGTATACAATACAGGAAGTATTACACTGAATGAATGATACTTATGTTTGGCCTTTGAAGTTATGGCCATTGCAGTGCCCCCTTGGTCATGTGGTCAGCATTCAGTCACTTGGCATCCCACCTGCATATATGATCAGGGGATACACTTCTCCCCCCCTCCATTTTCCTTCCCCTCTTTCTTTTGACTGCCCCATGCTGCACAACCCTTGCCACCCTGCAATCACTACCCCTGCTGCCCTGCACCATTTGCTCCACTGCCTATGCTGCCCTTTGCTCCACCACTCTTGTTGCCCCATCTGAACTTTGCTATCTTCTTCCTCCTGTTGCTGGCAGTGTGACATCCTCTTTCTAAGGTCATGTGTAGCCTTCCTGAAGTCTTGTGAGGCTTCTAATACACCTGCAATCTTGGCACGGGTAGTGGGGTGCAGGGTGCAGGGTGGCCTAAAGAGCAGAAATGGAGAAGATAGATGAAGTGCAGGCAAGCACAGCAGGGCAGGAGAAGCCTGAGGTCCTACCGTGGCATGGTACTGGCCTAACAAGTGCAACCAGGACTACTAAAACTGCTAAGCAGTGCAGTCATGTGATGTTTTGCCTAACAACTGAATTGGTTAGTAGCAGAAATTTTGGTCCCAAATAGGGTTGTTAAGCAAGGACTACCTGTAAGTAAGGAGATCCTGTCTGGACTTGCTTCAGTTGTGGTTCTTCTGCTTGACCTACATACTTTAGCCTGACTCTGATATCTCCTTGGGCATTGTGACTCAGAGCCCGGCTTGGCTCATTACTTGGCACTTATCCCTCCCAGCTCAAAACAAATAATTTGAGAAGGCTGTAAGCCAGAATATGCTTTCTAGGGAATCAATCCTATTGCATCATATTGAGAAGTGCTTGAGACTGCGTGAACTGTACAGCTTTTTTGTTCCTTGTTTTTTTAAAGCAACCAAGTCTTTTTTCAGCCTTCTGGGAAAGCTTAAATAAAGATATTGCTGCTTTAGGATTTACTTTGATCCTTAAAGCATCATCTCTTTTTCAAGATTGCGGAGGAGCCTGGAAAAAAGTGCTTTTGTTAGTAACAATACACCCTTAATTGCATTTAGTGTTATACCTCCTAAAGTATTTTTTTAATTTAAGTTTGCATTTTGAAAGTAATGGTATTAAAAATCAAAACAGTCTGCTTTTCAGGCAAATATGATTGATGCAGCTGATAGAATGTGAGAACAAACTAATTTGGGCTACTACTCCTTGCTTAACAAACTTGAATTATGAAGACACTGAACAAATGGTACTTATATCCAGTCCTTGAAGTTATGGCAGTTGCACCACCCTGCAGTCATGTGACTAAAATTTGGGTGCTCAGCAGCCCACCCACTTTAATAATTTCACGGAACACTTCAACTCCCCACACCCGCCTGTCTGTCCCCATCTCTGCCCTTTTGGCTGCCCTGCACTCCACTACCCCTGTTGCCCTGCCACTATGCCCTCCATTGCCGTGCTATCCCTATCACCCTGCCTATCGCCTTGCTCCTCCGCAGCACCTCCCATCCCAGCTGCCCTTCGCCATTTTCTTCCTCCTCCTGCTCATGAGGCATGCCTGGTGGAGGGGCAGTGGCATGCAGGTGGCCGAAAGGCCAGAGGAGGAGAGATAGATGGAGAGGGAGTTGAAGTGCACCCTGTGAGCCTAAATGTGGGTGAACTGCCAGGTGCCCATTTTTGGTCACATGACTGTTGGGCGGTGCAATGAATGTAACTTTGAGGACCAGTTGTAAGTACCATTCGTTCAGCACTGTCACAATTTCGAACACTTACTGAACAAATGGCTGTTAAACAAGGACCACCTATATAGCCCATATAAACAAAAGCTCTTTTGGAAAATGCCATAATATATGAAAGTGGGAAGGAGTCTGAATGAAAAAAGTTTAAGAAATAATATGTATACATAGATATGCCAGTCTTAAATACACTCAGATTGGAATTCAGGAAGTTAAAACTATCTACCGACACAAGTAATCATCTAACAAAGAAAAGTATTTTTAATAACTTCATCATTGAATTACATCCGGCATCAACTGAATGAACTTTTATTACTGCCGTGGTGTTTTCTGTTCATATCCTTCTTCCTATCCCCTTGCATTTCCCTCTGATCTTCTATCTCTCAAGCAGATCTGTGAAGACTTATTAGCAGTACCTGTTCTGCTGGCAAATAGAGGTGACGCTATGCAATCTACTGATTCTTTTCTTAATCAACTGTTTTCATCATCAGTCTTTTGCTTATCTATTCTATGTGTCTGATCCCATTCTTCAGCTATTTTGTCTACCATTTGACCCCTTTCATTCTTTCTCTGTTTCTAGCTCATCTTCATTTCCCTGACTTCTAATCAACTCATTGCCAAGGGGCATATGAGAGGAATGAGGAACCACAAAGTAGGTGGGGCCTCATTACACATGTCATGTTTGTTTGTTTGTCTATAGAATTTATAAGGCTTCCCAAATTAAAAAAATTACTCTGGATGGTTCACAATATTGAAAAGAAAAGATAAAGACAACAATTAACAGAAGGTTAATTAACATGATCGCCAACGTGCGATAACGGATATGGCACACGAAGAAGAAGAAGATAGTTATACAGAAGAATCAAAATGCTCCCATGTAGACAAGACCTCTCTAAAGGACCCCACCATTCAATTATCCCATGGCCTGGGAGAAACAATGGTTTTCAGGGCTTTTATAAATAAAATAAAGGCAGGAGTAATGTTTATGACACAGTTTTCAACTACTTTCAAGCACAATATGGCAGTTTTCAACAAATGTAATCAGGGCTTTGAGGTTTGGAAAAATACACTCCTATTTATCAGCTTGTTCTTAATTCTCTTCATTGTTCCATCCAGCTCTTGTTAGCAGTTATTTTTACCACTCATTCTTCCAATTCAGTGAATTATCCTGTTATTAATAATGCAAACTATAACACTAGCATTATAGAAAAAGGAAGTAAAAATGTATAGAATCCAGTGATTATTGTATTAGGTCCTAGAACATGTGGATAAATTAAATTCTTTCTACAATAACTCTGACCATTTAGTACTTAAGTCTTTCTCCCCACATTATCGACATTTAAAAAAACACATTTTAGCTCTGTGAAGTTGATGTGTTACGCATAATTTTCCATTGTGTTTGTTTGTTTCTTTATGCTTCCCCTTGCAGGCTTGCCCTGGACTTTTCCAGGATGGATTGGAAGGGGTACGGGTTGGCCTTATAAGTACCCAGATGTCACTGCTTATTATATTGTCTCCTGGATTATAGGTGTTAAAAAATATCATGATTTGGACATTGATTACATTGGGGTTAGTAGAGGAGTTTTTCCTCACATTCTGTTTTTTGTTAAAAATTAAATACAGCTTGCACCTCATGGCTTATAATATAAATATGTTTACCAAGTGTTCTTTTTTAATCCCCTTTTTGCATTAAGTAATTTATTTGTGGGTGATTTGGTCAAAGGACATAATTGGAAAGGTAAAATAAAAGTTAATATAAAAGGCAATTGAACTAGTAAAGTGAATTTGGACTTATACTAATATGCATTTTGTCCAGTAAATAAATGGCTTTATTTACTTTATACTAATTGCAGAGAAGAATCTTCATACCAGTAAGTCATGTTCTTTTCTTGAATGCTTAGAATTATGTAGATTATATGCAACTGATTGATTCAAAGTAGCCTTTTAAAATTTCACAGATATTTATTTGTTTGTTTATTGTTAAATTTATATGCTGCCCATCTCACTATCTGAAGAAATTCTGAGCTGTTTAATTAGTCTACATACAGACTGGATTTAAAACATTTCACTTTGCCAAGTGGAGAAGGCCAGATAATCCATGTCCTTTTGCTAAAACCATGAGAGGCCTATGGAGCACAGTATTGGGTTACTTGTGGGACAATATTTGTCCATGCTACTAAGTTAGATAAGATGGCCCCACTCAAGATCCCCTCCCTTAAATATTGTCACATGATGGGACCTTAGAGGCCTTCCTTTACCCCAACCGTCTAGAGAAGCCTCCCATCTAGATTTAAGGGATCCCTACCCTTTCAGCTTTCAGTCAATCAACATAGAGCTGGAAGGGACCTTGAGGTGTTCTAATCTAATCCCCTGCTCAAGTAGGAGATCCTTTACCATTTCAGATAGGTGGCTGTCCACTCTTTTCTTCAAAACCAGTGTTGAAGCACCTACAACTTCTGAGCTATTCCACTGATTAATTGTTCCTGAAGGCCATGAAGACCTGGCTAAACTTGGGCTAGGGTGGGGTTGAGCTGGGAGAATGTTTGGTCTGGCAGCTAAGGAGAAGTATTCTTTGTTTTTAAGTTAGGTTTTATGGATTGTTGTGAGCAGCCTAGAGTAATTGCATGAGATAGGTGGCCATATTAGTCCTGTAAATACATACATACATACATACATACAGTACATAGATACATGGCATAAGCTTGAAATTAGTCTAGATTTGTTCATGACATGCTAAACCTGGATTTTTTGTAATATCTGAAAATGAGTCTTTGAATTTGAGAACGGTGCTTCTGGATATATAATAGGCTGGCAGGCTATCCACTAATTATTTGTCAATCACTAATGATAAAAAAAGCCTGCAAGATTATAGTTGCTCACAGGTATTCCCTTTGGAGTTAGACAATGTGTTAGAGACTCTAGAGTGGAATTTAATTTGACATTTTTGTAGACAATATTTGCCTACTTTTGAGACTTTATCAAGGTCAGAGATGCTGCAATATGAATGTCTATGACAACAGTCAGTTTTAATTTTTATTTTAAGTTTGAGTTCTTGGTTTGAGAACAAAGTTACATCCCAGAGCAGAATATAATATAAAATTAAAAAATCAGTGTTTAAAAAAGATACAATAGTAACAATGCAACATCAATTATTATCTAAGAAATAAGTGATGGCATGCTTAGAGTAGTTAATTATATTTTGGAAAATAGTAAAAAGACATGTTAAACAAAGAGGATCTTCACTGGCAGGATATTCCTGATAAGAAGACCTTGTCTCTCACTGGAACAGAGGACAGGGCTTCTAGTGCTAAACTTAAAGAGAACATATTTTTTTAATGTGTTGTGAATGACTTAGAGAAGTATTGTCTGATCCTGGTGACCTTAAGAAGTAGGGATTTCAACTCTTGAGAATTCCCCAGCAAGATGCTGTCTGAGGAATTCTGGGAGTTAAAAGTCCACTTCTCTCAAAGTTGTCAGGTTTGAGAAACACTGACCCAGTTATGCAGACTTGGCTGAGATATTCAACTGTTCCATTTATGCTTCATTCTCTAATTGTTAGGGTTGCAACTCAAGTTATTGTGCTTTGGGGTTGGGAACTGAATTTAGTGGGATTTTCTTGTAATTCTTGTTCTAGTTTTGATGGCAATTAGATTTTATTACTAGTTTTTAAGCAACATTATAACACTTTTAAACTTCCCTTTTTTATTTAAGATTTGGAATGAACGATCTTTTAACAGCAAATATATCAAGGTATGTCAACTACTATCCTTTATTTATTTAACCAAGTAGGAATCTTGTTCTTGCTTTAACATGGAACAAAATTATGCAGCAGAGCAAGAAGTAGAGTTATCTGACTTCAGGTAAACAACTAATAACCGTTTGCATGAATTGATTTGTACTAAAAATATTACTTGTGTATCTGCTTTACATTTGCATGCTTTCCTATTCACTAATAATATCTGAGCCATTTTGAGCATATAACACTGACTGAATGTTGAAAGTAAAATGTAATGATGTTCATTTTATGTGACATTTGAGCTGAAGTATTCTCAATTTGAGTGCCTTCACTAGTGTCTGCTCATCATACTACTGGCTCAAAAGGTAGTATTCTGATCCCAAGTTGTTTAGGGCCCTGAATGTCATAGCTAGAAATATGATCTGGGCTTAGTAGCTAACTAACAGCCATGCAGGAAGTTAGCCATCTTAGTTGCTCCACGAGACAGCTGCAGATTGTGGACCAAGTATAAGAACAGTTTTATGCTGAATACCTTGGAATGATTTATGGATGAAGCTATGAGCCCATAAACAATTGTAGCTGGATTCTCCCACTTCAGAAAAATACCTAGGTGGTATATTATCCAATCTGACATTAAGCACTCTTAGCTATGGATAGGGCTTGGACCTTCAGTGACTGATGAATCTAGGAACTTTTCTCTACAATCTGGATACAGAATCTAGAATCTAGAAAAGAAGGCATAATAATTATTTCTTTATGATATTCATGTATTACAGAACTGATGGCATAGCTTGAAGGATGTTACAGAACTTAATCTTGAAAAAATGATTAGGTTTTAAAAGAAAGATTTTCTATTTTGATTAAATACAATTTCAGTTTTATAACATTTGTACATGTAAATATGTCTATGTTAGTTTCTACTATGGAATTGAATTAATTATTTGCTTTTGAAAATATACAGTTTGGCATACATAGCTAACTTGCTAGAGATCATCAATTTTTGGCAAATTTAGATAAGACTTAAAATGTAAGGCTATGGAATATGTAAAAGAGATGAATATTTGATAGTAAGTGACTGGACCTGAAGGCTATAGGCACTTGCCTAATTCCTAAGGGGAGATTTCTGTAAGTTGAAATGTGTGGGAGAGATTAGCTATTTAATTTTTTAGTAATTTAAATTGCAGCTGGCCAGAGAATGTGGCAGCAGGTGTGTACAATGGCATTTCATAGGTCATCTGTGTTGAACAAGCTATACTGGTTGCCATTTGTTTTATGAATGCAATTTAAGGTGCTTGTTGTGGTGTAAATGTTTCTTTCATGAGCTCATATTTTTTCAAACTTCCAGTTTACAAAATGTCTTGTAGGTCCCAGCACAGGTACATCTACAATTGGCAATAAATTCTTATTTCTCTGTTTATTTTAGAACAATTTTTTATTGGAGTTAAGGCAGACTTACATTGCCCAAAGTCATTCAGGAATAGGTAGTGTAAATTTGCAACTTTAGTTATATTTCCATATACAGCTAGACCTCAGTTATCGCCCACTTGTTCAGCTGAATTTGTAGTGGTGATGATGAGTGGTACTCATGACCAATCCTTGAAGTTCTGGCTGGCACACACAATCCACTTAGTAATAGGATCACAATCCAGGTGCTTGTCAGTTGATTCATACTTATGATGGTTGCAATGTCCTATGATTAAGTGATCACAATTGTAACCTTCCCTACAAGTTTTTCATTTCCTGGACAGAGTTGATATACGGGGGGTCTGGGGGGTCTTGCTAGACTTATGGCTTTTGCTTGTGGAACAGATGGCAGCCATGGCTGGGGTGGGGGAGCTTTGCAGAGATTCATTTTGGGCACCAGTTGCACCCATACCTGGACTGGGAAGCCTTCCTCATTGTCACTTCTGCTCTAGTCAATGCACTCTACATGGGGTTAGGCTTGAAGATCACCTGGAAACTTCAGTTTCTCCAGAATGCAGTGATGTGTGCAGTTGGGGCACGCTATTGTTTTGCCTGTGCCATACTGCTGCTGCCTGAACTCCCAATATTTTTCCAGGATCAATTCAAGGTGTTGGTTATCACCTTTAAAGTGCTGTATGGCTTGGGGCCAGGTTATTTGAGGACATGGACCTATCCCATTTATAATCAAATAAATAAAATCTAAATTGTTAATATTATATTAAGGGGACTCTGAACATTTGTGTCATAGCTTCCTCCCAAACAGCTACTCCCAAATTTCATTTTTTTTAAAAAAGGTTTGTTTGTCTAAATAAGATAAACAACATATATCAACAGTCAACTTCAGTAATTCGTGAATTTTGTATCCTGCCTTTATTATTTTTATAAATAACAAATTTATCCTTTCAGTGTTGTACATTACAGGATTTTTACAATTTTGCACCTGGGCAAAAAAAAATAAATACTTTGATAGATTTTAGACATTGGTGTAACCCCACCAAATAGACCAAAGCAAGCTTCAACTCTACAGGAAGATGGACTACTTCTGAGAATCACAATAATAACAAAATCTTGCAAGTGTGATTGTGCCTCTTCCCTTGTGAATTTCCATGTGAATTATGGAGGTGTATGTGTCTGAGCCACTTATGCATAGAACTAGTCATTGCTTACTGATCACTCATTCAATGATGTTCAAATTTGCAAGGGTACGGAAAAATGAGACATAACTGGTCCTTAAAGTTATGGCCATTGTAGCATCCTTGCAGTCCTGTGATTGCAATTTAGCTGCTTGGCAACCAGAATGCATTTACTAGAATGTAGTTACAATGTTCCTCAGTCACATGATCACCATGACCTTTGCAGCCAGTTTCCAACAAACAAAGTCAACAGGGAAGCCACCAGTAAGTCTCAAGTTGTGGTCACATGACATCATATTTAACAACCTGCAGTGATTCACATAATGACTGCAATTTGGTGCGGTCATGTGACATTGTGGTTAACAACTACTCTGCTTAGTAACAGAGCTGCCAGTGGATAATTGCCAATTGCAGTTGGTAACTGAGGACTACCTATATTTTCTACTTGTTTTAGATTTAAGCCATGTTTTTCTCCTTCATTGCTTTAGTAACAGATCTGGTATATCTCTGTCAAGGTCATCTTCCTGTCTTTGTACATCTGGGGCTGTAGCCAATTGAACATGTGTGCGCTTGACAGGCAATTAATTGCTCAAAAGTCATGTTGACAGTGCTTTTACTTTCAGAGCAAAATAGGGGGAGAGTAAGAAAAATTCACATCATATGAGTTTGTGTCATTGGAGTGCGAGGATGTAGCATATAAATGTTAGTATTAAAAATAAATAAAATGTTCAAACTCCTATATCATATCTCCAAGAGATTCAACAGTAACTTGATTTTAAAATCTTTAATACACAAAAAATTGCAAAATTAACTGATAAGTATGTAGAATTTTTAAGGTGTCATAGTTATTCTTGTTTTCGTTGTTAAGTTTAGGAAAGTGATGTTAGGCACAAACAACCAAACTCACACATGTAGAGTTCAAACTAGCTATTTATTGTTCTATGCCTATTCCACAAGAATCTCCCCAGTCTTTCATCTGGGAAAGACTAGATAAGGCTCAAATGCATTTGGGAGGGAGGGGTCAGACCTTGCCCTTTTGTGTTTACACAACAGGCCCAAACTAATTCCCTGCTTGAGCCCTCCTTCCAACTGGGACAGTTATTCTCCACCAGTGATTTGTAACAAGATTTTTTTTTTTGTTGACACAGATCAACCTCTTAGCAGTCATCACTTTTTCTGTACAGTCTATGACAAACTACTATCTTGCTTAAAATGGGAATTTATTACATAGTAAGTAAAATAAGCTTAATATTTCTGGGGAACTTCTGTGTAGAACACTGATAGTGATTTAGTGTATCTTTTATTTTAAAGCAAGATACAAGATACTTAAAAGAATTCTCAAATTCTTGAGTTCAAGATGTACTTCTTAATGGTCAGGTTAAGTATTAAATTCATATTAAATGGTCAATGCTCCAATTCTGAAATAAAAAATGAGCCCTGGTTAGGTGTCATTGATATTGATGCCATCTGGGTACCCTTTGAGGTACTTCATGTAGCACATATTTTTTTTATTTTATAAGTTGATAATTTATAAAATAAATTTGGGCTAGTAGATCAATAGGTTTTAGTCTCATGCGCTACCTAAATTTCTTCAGGTGTGTCTTGGAATCACTGCCCCTTTGTTTGGCTGTGATCTGTATATTAAGTAGCCAGTGTCATACAAGCATCATTGCTTCTTATTAATTGATTATCACCAAAAAGTGCACAATTTCTACTGAGGACTATGGAATCTAGGCAAGCCAACAGCATATATCATTTAGCTTTTTAACAATTCATTTTAGAACTCGATTGCCGTGTCCTTATTTGTTCCTTTAAGGTAATGTCATGCTCCTTAGTTGATGAAAATTATACTTCAAGTAATATTATCTGTTACCAAGGTACTTCGCAAAACTTTGGACAAAGTGGGTTTAAAGACCCTTGGCATCATTGCTGCGGATGGAAATTGGGACATTGCAAGTCAAATGCTAGTCGATCCTTATCTATATGATGCAGTTGAGATAGTAGGGTAAGTGTGGAAATACAGAGGAACAGTGATTCCTTTATTGTATGTAAAGCTTTGTATTAATTAGAATTTGGACACTTGCTTGATTATCCTGCTTTTCTTATGCATCAGCTATAGTATCATTTCTTTCCGGTCCTACACCTAGTTTTACTTCCAGCTGACTATTTGCTGTAGCTTAATAGGATACCAACATCCTTCTGCTATCATCTGTAACTATGTGGCTTTTGTTTACAGATGCTTCTTTAATAGTAACTTTCTTTCCTATGGGTACCCTAAGAACCTAAGGCTTCATATCTATACAGAATTCTCAGTACCTTCACTGCTGATCTTTAGGGGCATAAAGTCTAAGAGTTGTTAATATACTTGTATATATAGGATTGTGTGAAATGTTAAAACATTATTGATTATCTCTAAGGAACCAATAGGAACTCTGAGGAAGTTTCTTGTAATTGCTTGGCCTTTTCAGCAATTGTAGCTTAAGAAAATACATTTTTTGTTTTATTTTATGTTGCTGATCTATTTGTGGTGGTATTTTTAATATATTCATTTTGCTTTTTTATCTATATCATAGTTGCTTTGAATACCAGAGATGCAGGACTGTGCTGTACATTATGCATTTAAAAGAAAACACATTGCTTGGATATTATTAATGATAATTTTCATGTCTGATTTGTTAAACTGTATCATCTAATCTTATTCTCTATATTCTCAGTGCTTTGATTTTATGGCTATCTAATGAGTTGTCTAGTGATAAGCTAGATGTGCCACATTAATTAACTCATTGACTAACCTAAACCATTAGAGAGTAGCTGTATGCACCCAAAGGGCCATTGCACAGTGGATAAATTTTAAGACATTTAAAGTGGAACAGTGTTTGATTTCTATTAAAAATGAGTTTTTTGAGAAATGGTGGCAGTTTGTTAAATAATAACCACAATATTTATACCTGAAAATTTGAAAATTTATAAATGAAAGTTTATGCTTATGCATTTATACTAATGCTAAAAATTGCTGTGGACCATAATCTATGTAGTTTGATTTTCTGTTCTTTCTTAAGAATAGAAGTAGAAAATAGAAACTTAGAAATTTCAGATATGCTTCTAAACCCGATACCACCTCTGTCATGATCAATCTCCCAAGTGTCATTGCTATCATTGCCATTTACAACTGTTAGAATTATTCTGGCTGATAGTTGCCCCCCCCCAATTCATGGGGCAGATAATCACCACTTATAAATGGCAGGGTGCCTGTCTTTCTTCTGATTTTCCCAAATGCAGGGTTCTCTGATGACACTGCATTTGAGGAAAGTTAAAATTGGCATTCTAGATAGCTGCTTGGCTTCTCATCAAGACCACCATTTGCTACTGATTATGTATATCTGAGAAGACATGGGTGAATATCAGTTGCAGCATCACTTCAGAGCTTCAAAATAATAATACTAAAATAAGTAAGCAAAAACTCATTGATAGTTGAAATTTTTACCATCAAGCTTGTCATTACTTAACACTGAAGTACTGTATAACATTTTCCCTGGATGTGAAAATGATAATGAGGTTATTGTAGAGTTCAGATCCAGTATTATCCTGAACCTATGCACTAGATGTTCAATATCATGTTACTACTAATATAGAATGAAAAATGGTTAACTGATAAGATGAAATGAAGGTATAATTTGACTTACTCTGTTTAACTGTTTAAACCATAGTAGATTAATAAGAGAGACAGCTAAGAAAGGTACTACACTTATTTGGTGCTCATTTACCATACACACGTGCACGCGTGCGCGCGCGCACACACACACACAATTATTGAAAATCTTATCAAATTTTAAAATGCCAGTTTTTGTTGATTGGATTTATAGCATCATTTTACTAGGTAGAAAAAAAATATTTTTTCGCCTTTTACAAAACATTTTCTTTTCTAAAAGTTACAAAATGCAGTAGGGTATTAAAAGTTTCTAGAATTTACCTGTTCCCCTATTACCTTGGCTGCTCTGTTTTTGAGAGTGTTGCATACTTTTCTTGACATTATCTCATTTGATTCCGATATTTCAGTGTTTATCAAGTCTCAGATTCATTTGTCACAGTCTATGTGCATGTTATAAAGTTGGCTCAAATTGCAATCCTGTCGATAATCTCAAATCCATCACTGGAAGAGAGAAATTATTTTCTCTTCCTCTGTCTCCATGTGCAACGTTAGCATCTGTTCTCTGAGTTGGAAGAAAATTCTGGGGTAAATTTGGAGTGGGCAGACCATAGTGGGAAGGAAGAGAGAACATTCTGTTGTGTGAGCAGACATTGGATCTTGCCCTGATTTGTTTATTCTTCAACATGTTTTTATTCTGGCATCTGAAATGACAGGTATTTGCCTAGAAAAAACTTTTTAAATCTTACTGCAGGAGATATTCCTTGGTTATGTTCGGGAATGAGGCTTGTCTCTTCGTTTCCCCAGCGTGTCCATGGAGCTTTCTTATTTATTTATTTAATTTATATGCCACTCATCTCACTGTCCAAAGCGACTGTTATGAACTATGTCCATTTAAAACTTTTAGAAATGAAGCAATTTACTGAAGAGAATGGCATCTTGCTCTATTTTCCCCTTTGGCAGACAAATGGTTATAGGTATTTTAACTTCAAGCGCCATGGTGGCGCAGTGGTTAGAATGCAGTATTGTTGGCTAATTCTGCTGACTGCCGACTGCCAGCAGTTCAGCGGTTCGAGTCTCACCGGCTCAAGGTTGACTCAGCCTTCCACCCTTCCGAGGTCGGTAAAATGAGGATCCAGATTGTTGGGGGCAATATGCTGGCTCTGTAAACCACTTAGAGAGGGTTGGAAAGCACTGTGAAGCAGTGCAGTATATAAGTCTAAGTGCTATTGCTATTCACATTTATGCACCTGTCAGAGAGAGAGAGAAATGCCTGCTTTGTATCTAGACATCGGCAAAATAAATTGCACATTTTGGCTTTTTAAATATTTATTTCTTACAAGTGGTGGGAAAAATGTTGCTTGGCAGAGAGATGGGCGGCATAACAATTTAATAAATAAAGTAAAAATGAATAAAATGCTACTTTTCTTGTCTCTTTATTTTAAAAGATTTTAAGGTACTCTTTGGATAAGCAAGACCTTCAGCGAGTGCAGATCATAGCCAGCGATGACCTCTGGGAACCAATATCCTTTTACATGCTCACTGATTCTGAGCTCCATGAAGCAGTCAGTATTATTGGGTAGGGCATCTTTTCAAAGCTGATTCTTTCCTCATAACCCTTCGCAGTCATTTCTGATAGGCAGCACCTTTTTTTTGGGAAAAAAAATCTTTCTGGAATATTAAGTAGTTGCAATCTTTAGACTTGTGAGCTTCCAAAGTGTCAAATGACTTATGCAAATATGACCGCATCCTTGACACTCTTTTTTTTCATTTATGTTTGATTTCTTGTGCTTTTGTCCATAGGGCGTTGAGTACAGTTGTCAGAAACTGGCAATATTGCATAGGAGAGTTCAAGGGAATGCTTTTGTTTTCTTTTTATGTCTTTTGTTTCACTGCAATACTCAGGCTGCTTATTCCCTTGAGATTCTTACGCAGATAGTGTGGAGTTACTATGACAATTGGGACTGGGATTGCCATCACTAAGTGATGTGGTCATAACGTGCAGCATTAAGTGATCACATTGCTTAGCAACAGCAATCCAGATAGTCCCAGTTGCCCGTAGGTTATTAAGCAGGAAATAGCAGGACTCTAAGGTAAGGACTGTGAAGATGCTGTGATCAGTCGTAAGTGAGAGCTGGTTGCCAAATGCCTGAATTTTGTTCACATAACCGCAGGGGTGCTGCAACAGCTGGAACTTAAGAGGACCTTCATACAGTGCCATCATAATTTCAAAATCACTGAATGAATGGAGATTAAGTAAGGCTTACCTGAATTCATGAGATTTAATGAATGTATAATACTCGAACAAGGGATTGGAACAGAAAACTGGAGGCATCTTTTTGCCTATTTTTGCTCAAAATTACTCTTCCCCAAATAGTTTCATTGTTTGTTGGTACATTTGTACAACTGTGGTCACAGTTGTGTGTTGAGAAATGTGGAAAGAGTTTTCCCAGTTCAGGTTATTGATTTTAGATAGAAACAGATTTCTTGCCATGTAAAAGAGATGGGAAACCTTGTGTCTCCCAAATATTTGGACTATATCTTCTGTAATCAACAATTGTAGGCCATGTTGCCTAGATCTTATGGGAGATGTAGTTTCAATTATATAGTTTCAACTCAGATGATATGTTGAGGTAGTCCCAAAGGTGCTCTTCAAAAGGCAACTGGATTTTCTTTGTTCTTTTTTCTTGAAGACATTTCGTTTCTCATCCAAGAAGCTTCTTCAATTCTGATTGAATGGTGGGGAACGGAAGGATTTACCATACCACTGCAAAGAATATAAATCTTTCCATTCCCCACCATTCACTCAGAACTAAAGAAGCTATTTGGATGAGAAGCAAAACATCTTCAAGCAAAAAACAAACTCCAGTTGCCTTTTGAAAAGCACCTTTGGGGCAACCAGGACCTGGATGAGTGAGAATCTCCATAGACATATGCTGAGGTAGCACCTCAGTGGCTCTCCAGTGAGTAAAAGTTGCTTCACCTGTCTTCCATACATGGTTATCATAATAGTTTGTATTCAGTCCTGGTTTCCTGCTGGCTATTTACATATCTACATAGAAATCAGCCAAGTGCTAGAAGCTATTAGATAAGAATAGGGATGATTTAGTTTCCCATAGAAAAAGATTTCCAAAGAAAAAGGAAGAGCTATTCTGGTGACATTAAAAGTGAAAGATTAAAAATCATCAGATGAACTCTGGGAAGAAGATCTGGGAGAGAACTTCATGGAGATGTGTAATGACTGGCATCTAAGATGATGGAAGACAGTTCCGGCTGTTGAAGATTGGTTGTTGGTTTTAGGAAAACACATGTCTGGTAAACCTAAAATGGGCTAGGTACTGTACATTGCTAAAGCTTTTTTGGTTCTGGTGTGCTGGTTTGAGGAGAGTTTAAATCCTCTTGAAGCAAAGGAGGAGAAATCTAAGGAAGACCTGCCAAAGTTGAGGAGGAGAGAATACCTTTCATAGATGATCACTAAGAAGACTGAAGATGATGAAAGAAAAATGGCTCTACCAACTTGAGAGAGAAAAAGAACAGCTGCTAGCAAGATTGACAAAGGGAAACTGCTGGCCAGCATCTTTAAGCTTTCTATTAATTCTAAATAATTGAAGGTGGGATACAGAAAAAAAGATTAAGCTACAAGGTGTTTTTAATCTTAAGACATTAAATCAGCAGCAGAAATGAGAGGGACAGAAGATGACCTTTGCTTGCATAGTGTAAACAGGAATGTCGCTGGAAGTAATTGTTGTGTATTTGTTGAAAAAAGGAAGAAAATTCTAAAGTGCTCTGATTTTTTTTTCATCAAAACATATAAACCAATAGAAAGTCCTAGTCACAGTTATCTCTAATGTTTGCTGGTCCCAATTTTTAAAAGAGCTTTAAACACAACTTTTTAAGAGGTAGATATTAAGTCTCTTGTATTTTATTGGAAGGATTTAGGTTAGATTGACAAGACTGTCCATAGCAGAGATTTCTGTACCAAGTGTTAGACTTCAGAGCATATTAGTTCTTTAATGAAGATAGAGATCTAAGTTATTTTGCATCTCTACATTTCAAAAGGGTCTAGAATCATGTTTTAAGATACATAAATCAAAAGCATTGAGATATTTAGGTCTCTAAATTCTGCTCAATAATAATGAGAGCATCCTGCTATATTGGTAAATAAGTGAAATCCTGAAATCCTTTCTAAAAATTCTGTCTTTCCTTTGATCCTATTGGACAGCCATAAAAACAAACAAACAAACAAACAAAACCCTGAGGCTAAGACTTACCAACTGCAATCCAGGGATTATTATACTGATTTATTCTTCAGTTTTTTTCAAAAATGTCTTGAGTTTTAAAATGCTGTATAAATGCTAATCATTCACATTGTAAATGGTAGCCTTTAAGTGTTATTCCTGAATTTATGGATGAACACTTTTATTTTCTATGTCACGGATTTACTACTGCTGTAAATGTAAAAGATTGCTGGACTGCCCTTGAAAGACCTATGAGTTATTTAAAACAAGTTGAGATTCCCAATTTTCCATATAATCATCAAAAATTGAAGCTCTGAGGAATATCATTATTAAAAAAGACATCATGCCTTACAAACTTTTCTAGAATGTTACTTAATCAAATGCACATACATTGGAATTAAAATGTATATATTTTTTTCCTGTCTAGGGCTCACTACCCAGGGACAGAAACAGTGAAAAATGCTCAATTAACTCTAAAGAAACTCTGGTCTTCTGAAGACTACAGTACTTTCAACAATGAAGTTGGCGCTGGTTGCTGGGCTCGAATCCTGAATCAAAATTATGTAAATGGGAACATAACTGCGTATGTGTCGATATATCTGGTGATATAAAAATGTATTTCATGACAATATATATGTGTATCTATAATATTGTGAAAATCTTGCTTAATTCTTTTGGCAGTGACGTTGAATCAATTTTTAACAAATGAAATCATTATGTGCATGAAACTTGGACCAACTATTTCCCCCCCTAAAGCTGAGGTGTTCATAACAAGAACATTTATTCTGCAGATATTCCCCCTGTAAAAGAGTTTCTTACTATATGACTTGGTAAAAACTTATGTTGTGCTTGATTGATCAACCTATAGTACACGGGTGTCAAACTCCCAACATCACGTGACATGTCGCGATGTATCGTGACTCTTTTTGCATTGCTAGCAATGGAGTGGGCGCAGCTTCGGTATGATGAAACCAGCCCGTGGGTGGCAGTTTGACACCCCTGCTATAGTAGCTCTTGGGTTGAATTAAATAGGTGGACATTTGCTTAACCACTTAATTGTATAAACCCTCTGTGAAGTTCCTTCCTTTCAATTTTTTTGCACTATTACCATCAAGTGAAAAGTTTCAGAAGTGAGTGAAAGGCAGATAAATACCTCTTTAAGCTTAGTCTGTTTCAATATTTTCACCTTTGGTAACCATCTCTCTATTTATTCATATATTTATTTATTGAGATTTTATTAATGGTTGCTGCTATCTCCTGTAAGATGCCTCTCAAGATTTTGGTTTAGGAATAATGGAATATAATTAATAATTTTCCTTTCTTTTTCTTATTGTTCATTCTTAGCACTATTGCTTGGAATTTGGTGGCTAGTTACTATGAAGAATTACCCTTTGGAAGGTGTGGTTTAATGACAGCACAAGAACCATGGAGTGGGCATTACTCTGTGAATTCTCCCATATGGGCCACAGGTATGTTTTTAAAATTAGACATAAACTTTTCTAGTTATTAAATGCATGTTGAGCTGCTTTAAATGCATGTTGAGCTCTTTTAAATCGTAATACTTATTGGAATACACTAGAATACAAATCTTTCTAAATGAATAACATGTAGCTTCTTACTAAATATTATAAGAGAACGTGCATGGATTAAAACAATTTTGTTTCAACATATGTGCAAGATTTTGCATGATGGGGTAGCTTCATAGAACTACTGTTGATTTGAAAATATTTCAGACATTTTGTCTTATCAAAATTGACTCAGGTTTTGAATTCAGACTATAGATATACTGATTTGATGCTTACATTTTAATAAGCTCATAACTTTATGAAAAAAGTGTGAATTGAATGAGAATATATGTTATTCTTACTGTATTACTTAATCATTCAAAATACTTTTTCATTCAGAAGGTTGACAATCAGGACTGATCTTTCCTAGCCTGGAGCCTTCCAGTTTACAATATCTGTGATCTGTCTGGGATTTATAGGCAATAGAATCCGCAATAGCTGGAGAGCACAGGTTGTGAACTGTTGGCGTGAACCACAGTAGTTTGATTGAGTCACAGATTGGTGTTGCATTCATGATCCTGCACATTATGAAGGAGCTCTTCTGAATCAAATCCATATCCATCTATAAGAAGTTATTCCTGGACCTTTGTTTGAGTTGTAACTATGTATAGGTACTACAGTCAGAGAGAGATGACTGCTTGTTTGTAGGGCAATTGAGCTATCTTTCTATATGCCATTTTGTGTTGACTTTATTATCCCTCCCCCATTGAAACAGATTTCAGTGCTCTTTTTTTGTTTGAACATAGCACATACAACACAGTTCACACAACCAGGCTGGTATTACCTGAAAGTAGATGGGCATCTGGAAAAAGGTGGAAGCTTTGTGGCTCTGACTGATGGGCTAGGCAATCTGACCATCATCATTGAAACAATGGTAATGTTATTTGGCAAAGTCTAATGTAGAGTTGATTTCAAACATTAAACTTTATGGAAGCATAACAGTACAAAAGCTATGGAAGTACAGTGTCTTTGAGTTGCTCTTGGCTCCTGTTAATTTCATGAATGCATCCATGAAGTTTTCATGGAAACAATATGAAGATGAATTTCTGTTGCTTTGTTTCAAGGTTTTTTTCCCTGACTTTCAGTATAGTGTATAACTCTAGTTGTTTCTGATACTCTCCCGTCCAAGCAATAATACTGTTAAGTTTTTGAATCCTCACAAAGTCAGCCAAATGCTGCCACCTGCTGATATATTTTGAAAATAAATGCTTCTCTATGAGGAGCATTGTACTAGTGTTTTTCAGTTGGTCTAACATAGTCCCTAAGACTGAGTTGTGAGTGAGAAGTGCCTTCTTTGAGTCTCAGTTCTGATAGAGCTTCGAGAAGAGGTCTTAGACAAGTAAATTTGTCTTCGGGGGATAATTTATATTGATATATTTTACAGGGTTGTAGTATAAATTATTGGTATAGACTGCATAAAGGGCTTTTAACATTTTGACAACCAAATTACTCAATTATGTATTAAACAAATTTATAGTATATTGAACCACATCTTTGTAACTGGAGTTTTTTCAGAGACTGAGTAGACAATAAGGAGCTTATGCTTTGTTTTGTCAATCACAGTTGGTTCTTTATATTCTTTAACAATTTCCAAGTCTTACATCTTAAGATCTTCCATTACGCTCTAAGGATCCAGCAGTGCAAAACTGGTCTGTTTCTGCTGATTATGTGTGGATATTTTTTTTTCTGGGGAACTTTCTTTTCTGATGTGTGTTACTGTTGTATTTTCCAATTCCTGGTTTGGCATGTCAGATAGGATAGCCTAGTTCCCAGGACCTCCCCACTCCCAGACACTACTGCAGTTAATGGGGATATCCTGGATATAAGTTGCATGCAGAATTATTATTGCCTCAGGATTATATAGAACTTACTAATTATACTTTTATGTGGGTGACACTCTTTATCTAAATAAGTAATGTCACATACAGTCTGGCTGATGGAAATAAAAGGAATGGCATTTTGAGGTGATGTTTGATCTGTGCAATTTATTCTTTATTTTTAGACACATAACCACTCAGAGTGCATCAGGCCACCACTTCCTTCCTATGTTGTGTCACCCCAAAAAGCAGTTTTCCACTTGAAAGGATCCTTTGTAAGTAATTGAACTGTACCTCAATCCCTCTGTTGGGTGCCTTAGAGAATAGATAATCAAAACAAGATCAGGCAATGATTTGTCTTGTTTATCCATAGCAATTAGAATGATTGGCATTTTTGAAGTGACTGTGTAATTGAATGTTACATATAACTAATTGAGGGACAAATTCTGTTCTTATCTACCCAGTCTTATTGGCTGTTGTCAGAAGTTATCCTTGAACAAATAAATATGGTGCAGTCCAGATTCATGGTGCTGTAGTGTTCTGGTTGCCTGTGATCTGGTCTGCTACAACTCAGATTTCCAAGAAAGACTTAACTTGAACAGGGAAACTCTGGATATTTGTTCCATTCATTAAAAAAGTAACCATTACCTTATTAATTGTTTTAAAATATTTAAGTGGAACCAATGGCAGCAGAATTGATGATATATGAACCAGATTTTATTTTGTTTTGAAGTAAAAGGATAATAGTTTTGTTTTTCTGATTTTAAACAGTATTATGAGGTTTATTTATTAACCTCAGTTATGCATTGGAATTGAAACAATATTGAATAAATATCATTGCGGGCTCAGCTTGAGTGTTATTTATCTTGACAATTATAGTAATTACAATTATAGTATACATTTTTCTTTTAAAATGGACAGCAATGCATTTTTTAGAAGTCATGAGCTCATGATACTCTTAATCTATTGTTAAGTAATAATCTTTTTCAAATTTCTGAGATTCTGAAAAAGTATTTTAAATAGCAATAAATACCATTAAAATATTGGTTATTTATGCAGTTTACTACTTTGCCCCAGCTTTAAGGGTTATTCAAAGTTTTTTTTTAAAAAAAATGGTTTGGCTCTATTAATATGTTGCATTAGCAATAAATTTGAAGGAATGTTGGTAAATATGTAATTCCTTATTGGTCAAATATTATAGCCATGGTGAATCATATCTTTTTAAGGGCAATTAATTTAACAATACATTGATATCTTTAATCCTTATCTTTCAAAAATATGGAAATGTGGAAATGTTCAGTCTGAACAACTTTGGATATACAGTATTGTGCTTGGATTGTATCAAAAAGGATAATCATCTACACATGGAAGAGTAGTTCAATTCCAAACTGAGAATGTTGGTTTTATGAAATTTATCAACTTTGAAGACTTTGAGTCAACTATGTATCAAGAGAGAGTCAAGACTAGAGAATGCAATTTCATATGGAATAGATTCAATTCATCATAAAAATGAATTATAACACTGACAAATTAAAAAAAGTTATGTAATTTCAATAGTCTGATATCTACAATCTATATAAAAAGTTGTTTAGATTATTGTTATTTTGACTTGTTTTAATTTTCTGCTACTGTGCTACTGCCTCCCGCCTAAGCCACCATAGTAGAACTATGGTGGCTAGACCAAAGGCCAATTTAATCATATTCAATAGCTCACAGTGGCTAAAAAGATACCAATGGGTAGCCCACAAAGAGGATATGAGCAAAGTGGCATCTTATTGCTCATGTTCTATTTAGTAATTAGTAGAGACACAATAACCCTGATGCTGAAATGAATACACAGTCATCCTGACTAATGGGCATTATTAGCCTTCTCCATGCTTTTGATTAGTTTCCTTTGAAGACCATCTAGGTTGATGGCCATTAATATATCTTGTGAGTTCAACTATTCTATATCTGGACATTTGTGCTGAATGGTAGTATGTACCATAAATTACATTTTCCAAGGAAATTGTTGAGTATCTGTAACTTTAAAAGACAGGTGATCAAAGGATCTAGAGTTTTAAAAGATACGATAAAATATATCTATTTTCATAGAAAAAGTAGGGATTTATATATTACTTAGTGCTCTTGCCTAATCTGATAATTGCCCAAAGTTTAAAATAATAGAATCCTATTTATTCAATAGATGCAAACTAGTCAAACATTTGCAGACCCCATTAGCACCTCAAATCATATTTCTTCTGAGTGTATTCTTTTTTCTGTTGTGCAGAGAAGTTAAAGGGAGTTCATCCCTCAAAATTCTAGTTTGGATAACTTTGTTGAAAGAATCTGCATCCGCTTCTTTCTTCTTTCATTTGAAACCACTATTTGTGCTAAAACATGCATTAGTTTGTCTGATTTGCACACATCCATACAATGATATTAATGCTGAAATAATCATATTCTCATTCTGCCACATTTCTGAAATAAATTATTATATTCTGCTTTGAATGCAACTCTGCAAACCTGCTGCCTAGAGCGGATTTGATGAAATGAAGGTTCTCTTCTATATTTATATATGTATATGTAGAAAGTTCTGTAGACCTTGGAATGGGAAATTCTAGATGAATGACTCTGCAGAAGCTAACTTGGATCTGCTGGATCTGTAGCCACTGAGAGGACTTGGTGTTAACAAAAATGTCCCGGAGAGATAAAGTTAATACAGATAATTTAGGCCTATAGGGGGCAATTCCTCTCATTTAGGATTGCTCCATCTATGCAGAAATCAATTTAACTCCTTAGAATGATTACTTAACGTCATGCTATATCATCTTTCTCTCTGGGTGGGAATTTTGGGAGCTATAGCACAAAAACAGCTGGGCTGGTGGTAAACTTTGAGAGAGAGGGAAACAGTGGACTTCTTTGGCAGTTAAAAAAGATTTGAGATGCTATAAAGAAAATTGAATGTATTTTTTTTCTCTCCTCCAGAGCAAGTTGAAATCTCTTCAGATGTGGTATTCCAAGCTCGATTTTTCTACTGCCAACTCTACGTTATTTCAGTCACTTGGCCCTAAAAATGTGAGTACACCATAAGTTAAAAGGTTAATATGACTATGATAATTGATGGATATTTCCTTTAAGAGTCTATCTGAAGAACTAAAGGTATACAAAGGAAGAGCATTTGCCTGCATGCTACTTCTACAAAGCTGCCTCTGAAACAAAAAGAGTAACGCTGTTTAAGTAGAAGTGTTATAAAGTTCCCATGTCTGAAATGCATGTATCTTGTCACAGCAGGCAACATATTTCTGCTTTTAATGAGGCAACTAGAATTTAGAGAAGAAATATGAGCACTCTAAATTCCTTTCTCACCCAGAGCTGTAGTATTGTTTCAATCATATAGCATATTATTGTGCTATAGCCATAGCTCCATCTCCAGATGAAGAAAAACATGCAGTTTGAGTTGAATCAGATGGAGACTTCTAGCTTCCATTGATACCCCTATGTTGCATGTGATTTCATACTTTTTTGCGCTCCTGTTTCATACATATGTTTGATGCCTCATGATAAAACTGTAAGGCCTATTTATTTTAATTGATTACAGGTGCCTAACTCCAGTGTACTCTGGTGTATAAAGCCAAAAAATTACTTGGCCTTTAACTCCTTACACTCTCCCAGTAAATTCTTGATTTGGGAATACTGCATGGCTAACATAGTAAAGCACTTGGAATAATAGTTTGCAGCTAAACTCTTTTCTTTAGAGCTCTCTGTATATATCCTTCTTCTACATCATTTATTATTATTATTATTATTATTATTATTATTATTATTATTATTATTATTATTATTATTATTATTATTTAAATTTATATTTACCCATGACAACAACTCTCTGAGGTAAATTAGGCAGAGAGAGTGACCGGCCCAAAGTCACTCAGTGGGCTTTCATATCTAAGATGGGACTAGAACTCACTGTCTTTGGTTTCTAGCTTGGTGCCTTAAGGCTCAGACCAAATTGACTCTGATTCTTGTCAGTGGTCCAAGAATGAATCCTTTCCAGTACCCTGAAAAACTAGCCTATATGTACTGCTACTACTTGATCACTTGTTCTCCTTTTTGCTATGCAGATCTCTGAAGGAATATTGATGCTAAACTTGGGCTTGGATGAGATCTATACTTTGACAACTCTAACAACTGGCCATAAAAGTTCTTTCTCAGAACCTCCTCCATCTCAACCTTTTCCATCCATTTACAAAGATGATTTCAATATCCGTAAGTCATCATAAAGCTATTTTGAGGGAATTCCTTATTTGATGATCCTAGGCTGTTAATCATTTTTGTCAAGGATAGGGCCCTCATTGACAGTATAAGTTCTCTAGCATTCCCAATAGTAGATGAACAGAAACCTATCATAGTAAACATAGATATCAATTGGGAGAATCTATTGATATCCTTAAGTCTAATCCCCTTTTTGAACAAAAATCCAAATTAAATCACCCATGATAGGTTTAGCTCTGCTTGGTGATTATAGCTGCAGATTGGGCAGTCCATGTACTTGTTCATTGAACTTTTTTCTGCAGCCTTTTAATTTTGAAATTTGATGTAAATCACAAAAAAACATGAATACTGAGATCTGAGCCTACTAGACTTCCCAACCACATACAGATTTCAGTTGACTCTTCTTGGTGGCCTTTTTTCATTTAGCTTGATAACATTGAAGAGATGAACAGTTAAGACAATAAAAATGAGTTTTTCAGTACATATGATGATAAACAATTATAATGTGGAGTTTTGGGGAACTAAGAAATTGCTACATTTGTATAATATGACTGTGAGGGATTGAAATAATAAAATGTATGTTCTTCAAATAGGCAACCCACCTTTCAGTGAAGCACCATACTTTACTGATCAAACAGGAGTGTTTGAATATTTTATTAATGCTTCTGATCCAGGGGAACATGTCTTTACATTCCGACAAGTGGTGACACAGAGACCTATAACCTGGGCTATTGATGCAAAGAACACAATCAGCATTATAGGCAGCTATAAGTGGTATGTAGTGCATGTGATATTGTACTGTATTTTCAGTTTAGTCCAAAGTTTACAATGAAACATGGATATAGTAGTGAACTTATAGTTGCAGAGAATCTTTTGTTGAAAACTTACTTCTTGTGATTATTCTTTATTTTAATTTTATTTCATTCATTTTATATAGCTTCCCATTTTACTTATGTGGCTATGGCATCTCACAAGTTAAAATAGCAAAGGCAAACTCATAGAAATAAAATAAAACAAATAACTTTTTTTACCAATTAACCATCAACCTTAATCAAGGCCTGATGTTATAGCAATGTCTTTAGGGACTTCTTAAAGGCCAACGAGGTTGTAGCCAATCTATTCTGCCACGTCAGAAAAGTCTCTCCTACTGGGTACCATCAGATGGAACTCCTTTGTAGATGAGACCCATAATATGCCATTTATGTTGAATCTGAGGTGTTGTCATGTTTATGTAAACCTCGTGGTGCATAATGTTTAATCCAAGATTGCCTAGTGCCTCCTTCTGTGTAATGAGAAGCTGATGAGTAGAAGCCATTGGTAAAGGAGAACTGAACATATTTCCTATGTCAAAAATTATCCTAGCTAGTATTCTTGAAAGCAGACTTGTTACAAGGATATGACTTATACTTCAGAGTATGAATTATTTGATCTGTTGAATACTGGAAACAAAATTTATGTAAATAAACTTACCTAGTTTTAAGAGACCGTGTGCCCTTCAATTTTAAAAACGAATTTACAAAATGGTTTATAAATAAATTTATAAATAACATTCTGATAATTGCTTATTCTCTTTCCTATTCTTTCCCTTGATGTCATCTTTGATATTGTTTTTTCCTTAACTATACCAAACTAGAAAAGAATGCACCTGGGAGTAAAATGGAGGCCCATATAGCTAGATGCATGGTAGCCAGAGAAATGGAACATTGTGTAATATTGTTGATTATCCTTTTAGGTTCAGTTTGCCTAAAGAGACTGATAGTTACATCTCTGTTGCTCTTAGAGGTATTTACAGAGGTGTTTCTGGATATTTCTGTAATTGTATAATACAGATAGGTAATATAGCACGTTCAATAGTATTAGATAGTATTGAATGCATCCCAAATTAAACTTAAAAAAAATCCTAAAGTATTGTGAAGTGTTGCCTTTGTAGGGAACAAAATTTTTAAATCGTATAAGGTATCAGGCAGTTTTGAAGGTGGATTTTGTCTGGCTTTTCAAAAACCGTTAATCTTATTTACAATGAGTCCTATTTCATCTTTGCTAAAACTAATCTAGGATGAAGCATCCCAAAGATGCTTTTTCATGAGGCAACTGGATTTTCTTGGTTTTTTTGAAGACTGGATGGTGATCTTTCCATTCCCCACCAGCCAGTCAGAGCTGAAAAAGCTTCTTGGATGAGAAGCAAATGTCTTCAAAGAAAAACAAGAAAGTCCAGTTGCCTCGTGAAAAAGCACCTTTGGGATAACTATGACCTGGATAACTAAGAATGTCCATAGGCACTAAGATGAAGCAGTTCCTATTTGGGAAGTCTTATGTGGAATAACCTTGAGCCCTAAATAAAGCATCATTATATTTAGAATATTACTTTAGAGATTTAGGGGAGAAACAGGAAGAAAATATCACTCCCCTGACATATTATAATTATGAACTGGATCACTAAATAGGCCAGAGGAAAAACTACTCAAACATTAAGACAATTCCTAAAAAAAATCAGTCCCAAATTTAACCATCTTCCATTTATTCTTACAGGGTAAATTTCGTAATAAACTGTGATATTTATATAGAATCAAATAAAGGAGGAGCATTCATTGCAGGAAGAATTAGCAAAGGTGGCATATATGTTACATTAGCCAAAGGAATTTTCTTTTGGGTTTTTCCTGATGGCACATATCGAGTCACAAGAGATCTTGGTGAGTTCTTTCTTACTTTTTAACTTTTGCAGCATGCTGGGGGAAGGTGTTGGACAGGTGAATTGCCCTCTCTTCTTAGAGACTTAATAAGTGCCCTGCAAATCTTTCGTGTTATCTATTTGAAAATCTTACCCAACCTAGTGTTTCCAGATGTTAGGAAGCAGGCAAAAAGGTAGAAATTGGAGCATTTTCTTTCCCCCTCCAATATTCAAAGCTGAAAATGCATTCAGAATGTGATGTGTAGGATTCCAAATAGCTACTGTGACATTCAGTCTAGTTGAGCAATCTAATCTGGTTTACAGTTTCACAGTCCTTGCCATCAGCTATACAACTCCAAATAAATTACAGTATTGATAAGTGATAACTATCTTTTATCCTTAGCTTATTTTTAGATTTATCACTGTATTGTATTCTTGTATGCCTTTAGTTTTGTTTTATTTAATTTTGTTCAGATTTAGAGTTTGTGTGGCACATCATTTCAGTTCCCCTTCTAAATAGAGAAAGCATTTTAAAATGTTATTCTTTTGTAGCTGGTGATGAAATCTTGATGAAAGGGTTATCTGGTGTGCGAGCAAACAGATGGTATACACTCACTTTGATTCTCAAGGTAAGCACTGAAGTGCTATCCAAATACTGGTAAGCTGATTAACTCCTATAGAGGAATAAAAGCCTGCTATCTCATTAAGCCACAGGTATTAAAATTCAACTACCTCACAAGCTGCAATTCAGTAGTATCATGCTGAGAGAGTTCCTTTGTTCAAGAATAGCCTCTTAGAGATTAGTACAAGAATATCCCAACAGGTTAAAACCTGTTTATACACATATTTTTTGAGAATTGCTCTTCCTGAGTTCAGTTTTTCATCTACAGTATAAGGCATTCCTTGGGATGCAGTGTAGTTACGTATTTTCCTATCACTTCTAAAATCTGGACTGTACTTTTTGGGTTGCTTTTTGGACATGTGTGTGTGTGTGTGTGTGTGTGTGTGTGTAGGGGGGACATTCTGTTTTATTCCTCTGAATGAAGTGAATATAGGAAAGAACGTGGATTTCCTCCACTTAATTTAACTTGTTCCTGTGACATAGAAATGACAGGAATTAATCCACTTGGAAATAACTCTGAAATACTAAGATATATTTTCCAATTTTCCCCAATGGTCCCCTTCCCACTCCCCAGTTCTAACATTCTAACTTCCAGAAGTCTCAGAAAGAGTCAGGCTGGTTCGGGAATTCTGAGAATTGAACTCCATATCTCTGTAAAGTATCCAGATTATGAATAAGTATGCATGGTGCAAATAAAGGTCAGTGGGAGGAGTGACCTTTGGTTATAGAATGTGGGCATGATTTGTTTTTTGGTTTCAATTCAGTGTATATATTTTGTGAATTTATTTTCAGTGGAAAGCTTGCAATGCAGATCTCCCTCAAAATGGAGGGAGTATTTGCCTTGTGGAAAACAAAAATATTTTCCAAATAGTTTAGAAAGATGTATTTTCTGCCTTATGATGTGCTTCATCATTATACTGAAAATAATATTGATTCCTGAATACAAATTTGTACTTTTTCCTTCTTTTTTACAGAGATCCAATATCTCTGGCATGTTGAATGGCTATCCTCTGTGGGAGAACATCACCACACACAGTCCAGAGAATGGCTGGGCAGCTATTGGGACCCATTCTTTTGAACTGACACAATTTGACAATTTTCATGTTGAGGCCAGCTGATATTTCCATCATACATAGTCAATTCTAAGTATGCCTGGTCAAACCTTAATTTAATAGTAAATTATGCTACTGGAGATTTTTGATTGTTTCCTACTAATATTAATATATATTCAATGTTCTTCTGGCTACAAATTGTTCCTCTTCCTTCTTAAAATCAGATCTATGTTAATTTTTTTTGTGCAAGCTATAAATGGAAATGTGACCCAGTCTTATCTCTTTAATTAATAGCAATTAAGCAGTTACAATTAGGTAGAATTTCTGCTTTCACTATTTCTGGTGTGAAGTCCATTTTTTTGGGGGGGGGGGAGGTAAAATTCACTTTGCAATCAGATGGAATGCCTCATATCTATTATGAAGCAGTGAATTTCAGTGGATTTATATGTCTTCTACCAGGACATGAGATTTTACTCCTAGTTTTCTAATGTCTTAGTACACTTATCTAATTTTAATGAAGAAAAAAAATAGCCAGCTTATGATTGGCTGGCTTATTTGTGAAGTGCCTTCTTTTAAACTACCTCTCATTGATAACAGTACAGCAAATATATTGAAAATGTCTATTATTAATCTTGGGTTGATAATCCAATAACCCAGATAACTTTGTAGTTTTCTTCTTTGTGCCTGACTAGATACATTGAAGGAGAAAAAAGTGTACAGGTGGTCCTTAGTGATGTTCAAAATTATGATGGACCTCCCCGGAGCTACTTACAACTTATTTTCGCAGTTCTGGTGGTTGCACCACCCCCAAAATGTATCACTTAATCACAGTTTGGGCACTTGACAACTGGCTTGGATTTATGGTTTTCAGCATTTGTTGGTCATGTAACCGTAATTTTTGGTATTTTTTTGCCGGTTTCTGGCTTTTACTTCTGGTTTCTGGCAAAAAACACCCATTGCTGAAAGCAGATTTGATTAATAACCATGCCACAAAGAAGGCTATAAAATTGGGCACTGTCACATGGTGATCCGAGTAACAACTGCCATGACTTACCACCATAATTCCAGGCTCATATATGTTGTAAGTCGAGGACTACCTGTAGGTGATGAAAAGTCACGAGACCTTGTTTTACCTCATGTCTGCAAGTCAGTATACACTTGAAGGTACTCTTGCACAAGGACGTTACGGGCAGTAAAATTGTGAAATTTATAATCCAAAGAGTTGCACAAACATCAGTATCTGTGGATGATGTACATATCAAGGCCCTAGCTTTCATGAATAAAAAAGTATGCAGAAAAACAATATTTCAGATATTTTAGCTTACAAATGCCAATGTTCCTTTATCCTTTTTGGTGAAATTTAATTTTGAAGGCTAAAATAATTTGCTTATTTATTGAACTTTTATTAGTTAACTAGTTTCAGTTTATTTTATTACTTAGTATTTTGAAGTGTATGGGGTAGGTGTCAAATACAAAATAGTGGAAAATAAAACTAATACAAACTGGCAAATTATAGGGCAGAGCAAATAGCTCTCTATGAGAATGTACTAAGTTGTCCTGAATATATCATTGCAAAGGTATACTGAATTATTATAGTTGGGGGAAATCTTAATACAGAATTCTAAAACTGCTCAACAGAAGTATATAAAATTCTGATCAACGTCCATCACTTTGTGTTCATATTTTGACAAATGAAGCTGACAGATGAAGAGTCTACATAAGATAAGCTATGCTAGAAAGGGTTGTGGTTGTGGATTTGCTTTCTTTGTTATTGTCAGACTATTGATAATCAGAAACCTTTGCAGTGCTGTTGCAAATTATGCAGATTGTAGACCTGAATCTTGCTTTATGTTTTCTCACCTTTTATCTACCATTGAAGAAATCCTAATATGTTCCTGTTTCAGCTAGAGTTGTGGATTGCTGGCTTTATAGAAAGAATAGGTAACTTCTTTAAAACTTTGCCTCTTTTTTTAAAAAAATAGTTCAATTCTGTGTCTCATTTTATTCTAGGCAATGTTAACTTATGGTATTCAATAAAAACTAACTGGATATGCTCCTTTGAAAGTTGATTCTGATAAGATTGTTTTTATACTCTAGATAGCGTTACAAAATATCTTTGTTAGATGACATACAGAAATCTGTCTCTTCTAGTTCAAAAAGACTTCTGAGACAAGATATTACAGTTGATAATGTATTGGTTTACAGAACAGAATTATGACTGTTTGTCTGTTCCAGACATGATTAAACCATAAGCCCCCATATTTTTTCTATCTTATTCAGACCAAAACAATTGTTTTCTAGCCAGCATACTGAATTAAATTTCAAACTTTAACAGTCTAGCTTGTTTGTAAGATGTTGATTACCAGTTAGGCAAAGACAAAAAGGAAAAGTATGTTTCCTTGTATGAGTGAAATGCTTGTTCATATCTCAGCTTAAGACAAAAGATGATCAGATTGGCTAATGGTAAATATACTTACATGCAGTTAATAAGCTAATAATAGTATAGTGTTTGTCCTGTTTTGTGAATTGGATATTGATGGTTCAAAACTGTGTTCAAAACTGGAGGTTGAGATTATGTTTACTATCTTTTCCCTTGTAGCATGAGGATATAAAGGACAGAATGCACAGGATCTGGGTTTTTTTTGTCATTTTTTTCAAATAGACTGGAAAGTTGCAGATGAAGTAACTCATATCATCAAAGTAGACAGGGTCAAAATGTTTGGTTTTTTGGTTTTTTCTGCATGATAAAACAAAGAGCAAAATGGGTTTTTTAAACTTTTGTCCCCTAGTGCCTCCCGGACAAATACAATTAATCTCAGGATAGATTTAAGATTGAAACAAATGCCTAAAAGTTATTAGATTAATGTAAACTATAAGGCTGCAAATTTAAGATTACCATTTTGCTTTCTGAGGATTGCAGAAAGATTACTAGGTACACATGACATCCTTTGCATATAGTTATCCGCCCCCACAACCAGTTCATTCTGGAAGTTATGCAGTCCAACCAGTTTGAAAACTAGTTGGAAAAGACTAATTCAGGGATATGCATGCCTACCTGCCTTTATTACAAAAGCTGTACTATTTCTGCATTACATTCATAGTTCTGGTTTTGCCTGGTTCACAAAGTGTAAAATCAAGAATTCTGTTTCTTGTTAATTTATGGAATTACAGATGTTTGTCATAAAATTGGCTTGTTTAAGAAACTGCTTTGATGTTTCAACAATAGTCTAATGTATGTGGTTGATTATTGCAATTCCTAATGTTTCAAACAAAGAATAAATATCATTTAAATCTTTGATTTGTTGTTTGTTTGTGTGTGTGTTGTCTGGGTTAGTCATATTCTCTGAGCTTAACCTATAGAGCAGGGTTTCCCAACCTCTGGTCCGTGGACCAGTACCGGGCTGCGGCATGCCAGCAACCGATCCGCACAAACAAGCAAAGCCCCATCCATGGGATGCAGGCAGCACACAAAACCATGCACTCTCCAGTCCGTGGAAAAACCTCTCTCCACGGAACCAGTCCCTGGTGCCCAAAAGGTTGGGGAGCTCTGCTATAGAGTTCTTGTTGAGAAAAAATTGGAGGAGAAAATGCTGTGTATGCCTTCTTGAAGTTCTGAAGGAAAGGTGGGATATACTGTAAAACTAGTCAAAATAACTACAGATTAAATTTTCACAGGTCACCATACTACATAGTGCAGAACATGGTTCAGAAATAAAACTGGGAAAGAAATTTCAATGGTAGATAATCTATTTTAAAAGCAGAAAGGTCGAAGATAAATCTCTGGTAGATGAAATAATCACAGTCTGAAACCTATGCCTGGGTTACACATGATTTATTTGGCTTGGCTTAATAGGATGTATGAACAATCAACTGTGGTTAAAGAATGGCTTAGTGCAGTGTGCAAGAGTATTGACAATATTGGGCTAAATATTTTAAATTAACATTGGGCTACCCTTTAAAGCTATTTTCTGAGATCTTCTGAGAGAAGAGGAGGAATTGTGAACAGGATGCAAAGAAGAGCTGGATGTGCCTATCATTAGTAAAATGCTTTTGTTGCAGGAAAGAGATTTAATCAAGATATTTAAACGTAATTGTAATAGCCCTTGGGGATGATTCTTCCATGGTAACAAATGCAGGGGTTCTGATTCCTGTGGAAGACCTTGATCAGCCTGAATGAGGATTCCATGATTCTAAGTCAGAGCCATAATTTTAGCCTTTAAAATTACTTGTTCACCATTTCATTATTTAGCATGTTTTAATGTAATAATAATAATGATAATGATAATGATGATGATGATGATGATGATGATGATGATGATGATGATGATGATGATGATGATGATGATGTTGGAAGGGACCAACCCCCTGCTCAGGCAGGAAACCCTATACCATTTCAGACAAATGGCTGTCCAGTCTCTTCTTAAAAACTTCCAGGGTTGGAGCATTCACCGCTTCTGGAGGCAGGTTGTTCCACTGGTTAATTGTTCTAACTGTCAGGAAATTTCTCCTTAGTTCTAGGTTGCTTCTTTCCTTGATTAGTTTCCATCCATTGCTTCTTGTCCTGTCTTCAGGCATTTTGGAGAATAGCTTGACTCCCTCTTCTTTGTGGCAGCCCCTCAGATATTGGAACACTGCTATCATGTCCCCTCTCGTCCTTCTCCATGTCCAATTCCAGCAATCGTTCCTTATATGTTTTAGCCATCTTTGTTGCTCTTCTCTGTACTCTTTCTAGAGTCTCAATATCGCCTGGAGGCAGGACAAGAAGCAACGGGTGGAAACTAATCAAGGAGAGAAG